TGCCTCTTTAATAGACGGCCGGGTACCTGCCCCTTTAAAGGAGGCGGTAGTCTGGCCAGTCCTAAAGAAGGCATCCCTGGATCCAGAGGTGGCCGCCAAGTATAGACTGGTGGCCAACATCCCGTTCCTCATCCAGGTGCTAGAGCGGGTGGTGGCGGGACAACTTCAAGCACTCTTGGATGAAAGTGATTATCTGGACCCATTTCAGTCCGGCTTCAGACCCGGGTATGGCATTGAATCTGCCTTGGTTGCCCTGTATGATGACCTGTGCAGGGAGAAAGACAGGGGGAGTGCGTCCCTGTCGGTTCTCCTGGACCTCTCAGCGGCTTTTGATACCATCGACCATGGTATCCTTCTGGATAGGCTGGCGGGATTGGGGGTCGGAGGCACTGCTTTGCAGTGGTTCTGCTCCTATCTCAACGGCTGATTCCAGAAGGTGGTGCTGGGGGACTATGGCTCTGCACCATGGCAGCTATGCCATGGAGTACCGTAGGGGTCCATTTTGTCCCCTTTGCTGTTTAACATCTACATGAAACCACTGGGAGAGGTCATCAGGAGGTGTGGGCTGAGGTAATGGGCTGGATGAGGGCCAATAAACTGAAGCTCAATCCAGACAAGACGGAGGTCCTGTTGGTGGGTGGATCAGACCTTGGGATGGGGGACTTTGGCCTTGTCTTAAATGGGGTTGCACTCCCTCTGAGGGACAGGGTTCGCAGCTTAGGAGTGCTTCTCGACCCTGAGCTGTCTTTGGAAGCTCAGGTGATGGCGGTGGCGAGGAGCACTTTCATTCAGCTTCGGCTGATACATCAGCTGCGTCCCTTCCTAGAGCATGACTGTCTGGCGACAGTGACACACGCGCTGGTAACTTCCCGATTAGATTTCTGTAACACACTGTACGTGGGGCTACCCTTGAAGACGGTCCGGATACTTCATTTGGTGCAGAATAGAGCTGCCAGGTTTCTGACGGGGACTGGGCGTTGTTCTCATATAACCCCAGTTCTCGGTCAGCTCCACTGGCTCCCGATTGAAGTCTGGGCCCAATTCAAGGTATTCTTTATGACCTATAAAGCCCTGAATGGCTTGGGACCTGGTTATCTAAAGGAACGCTTGCACCCATGTATGCTCTCCCACCCCTTGAGGTCAGCAGCAGATGCCGTTCTCCGGGAATCCTCTGTGAATGAGATTAGGAGCATGAGCACCCGGAGGAGGGCTTTCTCTGTGTTGGAGCCCCATTTATGGAATGTGCTCCCCAGAGAGGTCCACCTGGCGCCATCGTTATTTGTTTTTTGGCGCCAGGCTAAGACCTTTTTATTTAAAACTTATTTTAACTGTTAATTATATATTAACTAGGTTTTTCTTTTTTTTAAGCTGAGAATGCACTGGGGGGGTGTTATTTATTGCCTTATTTATTGTATAATTTTAGTATTTATGTGTTGTGAGCTGCCCCGAGGCTTTGTTGAGATGGGGCGGCATAGAAATTTTTTAAATAAATACATAAATAAATGGATAACTTTAAGAAATAAGAGAATCTTGTATCTTGAAGGGCATGATTTGCAAATGGGCTGGCATGCTTATATGTGGAATGAAAAGGCTAAGCTACATGGCTCTTTTTTAAGTCACTATATTAGGAAATCATTAATGTCAGTGTGGGAAATGTTAAGGACAAAATTGTATAATAAATTACCAAGATGGCTTTCACCTATGGAAGCTTTTGTATATCCAAATGCACTGAACTTTGAAAGGATCATAAGATATGATGACATTCTGGATAAGGATGGAGGATTGAAATTGAATCAAGACACACAAGAACATGGATCTTGGTGGCATAAGGTGCAGATACAATCAAGATATGTTAAAGACTAAATAACGTAGGGCTTTTATAAGGATTTAACAGCATTTGATCAGGTGATGCTTAAATCAGAAGAGAAAATGATTAAAAGGCTATATAATATCTTACTCGATAGGAAAATTGAAGATGAACAGGTTAAGGAAACTATGATAACATGGGCACAAAACTTTGGATATAATATTGAATTAGAAAAATGGCAAAAACTGTGGGAGAGAAATATTAAGGTGACATTAGCAACTTCGTATAAAGAAAACTTGTATAAAATGCTTTATAGATGGTATCTGTCTTCAAATAGATTAGCTAAGATGTTTCCAAATAAGTCAAATGGATGTTGGGAATGTAAACATAAAACGGGTACCTTCTATCATATGTGGTGGACTTGCGATAAAGTGAATAAGTATTGGATTAAAATACATAAATGGCTTGAAAAATTGTTACAAAAAATCTTTAGCTTTTAGACCTGAAGTTTTCTTATTAGGCATTTTACCTGATGATATTAGAAAACAAGAAATGTACTTGATTTTACATGTAATTTCTGCAGCAAGGATTGCATTTGCTCAACACTGGAAAAGTGAAGAACCACCCAGAGATGAACTGATCCTAAAAAAGATCTTGGATAGATTGTGCAGAAATGGATAGATTGACTTTGTCATTAAAGGAGAAAGAAGATACTTATTTCTACTTGGGACTCTTTTTATTATCGGCTAGAGAAACAGGATTTCATATAGATTTAAATACAGTTCTAAGTTATCGTAAATGGAAAAAAATCTGGGGGCTGACCCAGCAGGCCTGATGTTTTTGATGATTGATGTTGTTTTTAATTTTTCTTTGTTTTTAGGACTATAATTTTGAACAAAACTTATTATAAAAAAAGAAGGTGAGGTCCTCATGCAGGCTTGGCAAACCTCTGAAAGCGTCCTGCATGGCTTCTTAGAGGTGCTCTTCAGCAAGGATAGGGCCAACATTGGAGAAGTCATGTTTTCCAATTGCAAAGACACAAGAGAAGAAGTCCTCATGGCTGCCCTTCCATGGACATAATCTCTCCAAATATTTATTCAAAACTGAGCAAAATGAAGATAGACAAACTGTGCTTTTGGAATACTGATATATTTGCAAAAATGTAGATTGGGAAAGAAGGAATCAGGCTGGGCCCCTCCATCTCATTACCATACTCATCAAATAATGATCTCCAGAAGGGAACAGCAGCCATGTGCTCCTTCCTTTTGCCCTTCTTGAAAGGCCACTAAAGGATGTTGGTCATTTTCTCCTTGGAATGACCTTGCTGCATCTCCCACTGCATGATTATAGGGAGTGTTGTAGTGAGCAAAGAGCAGCTGGGCAAGCATGTTCAAACAATCGTCACTTAAAGCAGTTCCTGCATAGCTATGAAAATATGCTAGCATATGAATACACTAGCTGGGCACTGAACTTTAGCTAAGGTGGATCAGGTAAGAGGGTAACACCACCCACTAACCATTACCACATTGTCTGAGTCTCTGTCCTCTTTCAGGTTCTCGCTTCTTTGACCAATGTTCGGTTTAACAATAGCGCTGGAGAGGAAGTTTATTTCACTGGAAATGAGAAGAGATATGATATCCTGAACTGGGTACTTTTCCCTAACAGCTCTTTGTACACCATGAAAGTTGGATCAGTTGATCTGGGTGCGCCCCCAGGACAAGTGTTCTCCATTCACTCAGCGGGAATTGTGTGGACCACAAAGGTGGGCTGTGGTGATGGTGAAACACATGCGTGTAAGTTCTGTCTTTGAGAGTAAATTCTGCATATTTAGTTAGCTATTCAGTCTGTGGTATGGAAATGAGTTTGGGCTTTCTGCACTACAGTTCTTTGTTAATCACAAAGCTGTACCCAACCCATCACGACCCCATAGACAACATTTCTCCAGGCTTTCCTGTCCTCCACCATCCCTCGGAGTCCACCCAACTCACACCAACTGCCCCAGTGACCCAGTCCAGCCAGCTCATCCTCCACCATCCCTTTCTTCTTTTGCTAGCAATTGTTCCCAGCATCAGGGTCTTCTCCTGTGAGTTGTTCCATCTCATTTGGTGGCCAAAGTACTTGAGTTTCATTTTCAGTATTTGGCAGTCAGTGATGAATTGTCTAAAGATCAGTCAGGGTTAATTTCCTTTACAATTGAGTGGTTTAATCTCTCTGCAGTTCAAGGGACTCTCAGGAATCTTCTCCAGCACCACAATTCAAAGGACTCAAGTCTTCAGTGCTCAGCCTTCCTTATGGTTCAACTTTCACAGTCATACATGGCAACTGGGAAAACCATAGCCTTGACTATAGACACTTTTGTTGGCAGGGTGATGTCTCTACTTTTTAGTATGCTGTCTAGATTTGCCATAGCTTTCCTCCCCAGGAGCAAGCATCTTTTAATTTCTTGGCTGCAGTCACAATCTGCAGTGATCTTGAAGTGCAAGAAAATAAAATCTGTCACTTCCTTCATTTCTTCCCCATCTATTTGCCAGGAAGTGAGAGGACCGGATGCCATGATCTTAGTTTTTCTGGAATTCCCCAGATTTCTCCATGATCCAGAGTATGTTGACAATTTGATCTCTAGTTCCTCTGTCTCTTCAAAATCCTCCCTGTACTTTTGGGAGGTCCTGTTCCACATACTGCTGAGGCCAAGCTAGTAGGATTTTGAGCATTAATTTGCTAGCATGTGGAATGAGTTCATACATACAGTAAAGTGCATACATGTGAATTATACCAAGTCTTCTGTTGCAGAGTTTTCAGCTAAGTCTAAAACAAGCCTTATGCCAGAATCCCTTGAGATTTGCCACCAGTCAGTCGAGACAAGGTTGGGCAAGATGCACCAATACCTAACTAGTAGAAGTCATCTTCCAAGCCTCCTATTCCAGCCTCAGACTGGTTTCTGAACAGTCACTGAAAACATGTGGTTAAGTGATTCTCTCCTTCACACATTTACAAAGCTCTTGTAAAGGAAAATCTGTCAAGGAAGATGAAGCCCTTCCAGGCATATCTCCCCTAAGTAGCATAGTTTTGTCTCTTTTATTTACAGAAAATGCCAGTTGCAAGATGTGTGGAGCACTGCTCTCCAGGCTACAGAAAAAGAGTTCCAGAGGGGAAGCCAGTTTGCTGTTACACATGTGACCGTTGTGCCGAAGGAATGGTTTCTACCTCTACAGGTACCCCCAATTCCAAAGGATCTCCCCAAGGAAAGGTCATGAACAAGTACAGGAGTTGCCCAACTCCCACAGAATCTTTTTCCTGTACATTTGAGGACTCTGTGGATCAATAGTCTGCATTAGATTGCATTTTTTTTCATGCCCACTCTTTGAACCCTGCATTCCTTGGCCATGTTTCTCTTGGTTCTTTTTATCATTACAGTTGAAAACCAGAAGCTTATGCACTCATAAAAGCTTGAGAATATACTTTTTAGAGCTTGACTAGTCCACACAGAACAATAGTTTCAATCAACTTTGGTACATTTCAGTAGCTTTTCTTCATTCCAGATGCAGCTCACTGTGCTCCATGCCCACCAGATCAACAACCACACAGGAATCAAGATCAGTGTATCCCCAAGAAGTTCCACTTCCTTTCCTATCAAGAGACACTTGGTATTGTATTAGTTTCTCTAGCTCTTTTTTGCTCTCTGCTCACATGTGTGGTGTTAGCAACCTTCATTAAGCACCATGACACACCCATTGTCAAAGCCAACAACCGAGACCTGACCTATGTCCTCCTCATCTCTCTCCTCCTGTGCTTCCTCTGCTCCTTCCTTTTCATCGGTCAACCTACAAAGGTCACTTGTGTACTCCAACAACCTGCTTTTGGCATTGCCTTTTCTCTTGCTGTTTCCTGTGTGTTGGCAAAAACCATTATGGTGGTTCTGGCCTTCACGGCCACAAAACCAGGGAACATGACAAGAAAACTCTTGGGGAGACGACTGACAGCTTCTGTTGTCTTGGCCTGTGTGCTCCTCCAAGTCATCCTCAGTGCTGTCTGGCTGCTGACTGTGCCCCCATTCCCAAGTCTGGATTTCTATTCTCTGGCTGGAGAGATCATTATAGAATGTAATCAAGGTTCCATCACCATGTTTTACCTTCTCTTGAGCTACATGGGCTTCCTTGCTCTCACCTGCTTCACAGTAGCTTTCCCAGCAAGGAAACTGCCTGACAGTTTCAACGAAACCAAGTTCATCACCTTCAGCATGCTGGTCTTCTGCAGTGTGTGGGTGTCCTTTGTGCCCACCTACCTGAGCACCAAGGGAAAAGACATGGTGGCTGTGGAGATCTTCTCCATCTTGGCCTCTGCTGCTTCTCTGCTGGGTTGCATCTTCCTCCCCAAATGTTACATTATTCTCCTGAGGCCAGATCTCAATTGCAGGGACAATCTACAAAGAAAAGCATAAGGCAGAGGTCCTCTACTTCAGTACATTTCTGGTTAATTCTTGCGCAGCCCAGTATATTGCACCTCTGTCCCTTAGCTAACAAGGCTGCTATTCATGTAGCCAGGTTGGTTTTGTTGAAAAATAAACAGGAAATTCCAATCTTGCATTGATTCATGTTTTTTGTGCTTGTATCTGTTTGCCTTGATGCATTAAATGTGCTAAGCAATTTTCCGAATCCGGAGAGGGTTATTCTGTCAACAGAATGCATGTGAATATTGAAGGACTGTAGGAGATCAGAATTAATTGTCTATTTTCCTGAGGCAAAAGGACCAACTAATAACTCAGCAGCCTGGTGTTTTACAGTGTTAGGATTTCCTTGTGGCACCCTAACTGAAATAGATCTCGGTATGCTGCCTCAGATTCTTTGCAAGAGGAAAAAGCTCATGCATATATTCAGTATGATTGTCATTTTCCTGGTCATCATCAGCGTGTCCAAGCTGGATTATTCCACTAAGAACGTTGAATAACTGTCACCACTTCCTTCAAAATGGAAATTCTTCTCTTGAATATTTCCAAGAATAACTTTGCTGTTTCTAGGCATTAATTAATCCACTCAATTTCCTGTGACTTGCTGATGGAGTCATACAAAAACATGGGATCTCCTATAGACTGGGGTGCTTTCCTGTTCCTCTGCCCTTCTGGCTTTGCTCTTCTGGCCTCCAACATGAAGAGAGATCAATATGAGGCAAGCTTGGGAGGGAGCATGAAGACATGTTGGGGCGGTGGTGTTGAGGCAAACAGTGGACCTTTTAGGTGCCCTGGAGGGCTACCCCCTTTCCCTCTATTTCTATACTACAAGACTTTGATATCTCAGTCTCATCATCGGAATTCTTCATAGCTATTTTTGCATGTTTCTGCAAAGGAGCTCCAGATCAGATGCTTTCTGCCTTTGCTTTCAATTCCAGGAGCGCACATGAGAAACTCTGCTGGTGTTCCCCATTTTCTAACGGGAAACTTGAATTGCAGAAGTCTGTCAAGATTGCTGCCACCTCGTTTTTATGCTTCTGCTCTGGCCTCATCCCCAGCCAGAGAATGATTCTCTCCTTCTTTTGAACCACTTTATCTCCAAGAAGTTGCACTTCCTTTCCTATGGAGTGACATGGGGCATATTTTAGCTTCCTTTGCTCTCTTCCTCTGATCTCATTTCTTGGGCTTGCAGGCTTCATGAAACATCCTAATAGACTCATCATCAATGCCAACAGTGCGCCCTTACCTACATCCTCCTCATCTCCCTCCTTTTCTGCTTCCTCTGCCCCTTCATGTTGGTTGGCCAATCCACAAATGTCACCTGACACCTCTAACAAGCTGGTTTTGGCATCACCTTCTCTCTTGCTATTACTTCCATGTTGGCAAAACAGTCTTGGTGGCTGTGGCCTTCATAGCCACCAAAGCTGTGAAACATGGCAAGTAAACTCTTGGAGAAGCAACTGTCTAACTTGGTTGTTCTGACCTGTCCCCCCATTCAACTGATTATCTGTGTTAGCTGGCTGCTCATCTCTCCCCCATTCCCAAATTTGGACTCACATTCCCTAACTAGGGAGATTGTTGTGGAATACAGTGAAGGCTCTGTCAACATATTTCATGCGTTTTGGGGGGCTACATGGGTCTCCTGAGTGGCTTCCTGAGCTAGGAAACTGCCTGACAGCTTCAACAAATCCAAGTTCATAACCTTCAGCATACTGGTGTTTTATAGTGAGTGGGTGTCCTTTGTGCCCACCTGCCTGAGCACCAAATGGAAGTTCATGGGGGCCATGGAAATCTCCATCCTGGCTTCTGGGGCTGGTGTTCTGGATTGCATCTTCCTCCTGAAATGCTACCATATTCTCCTGAGGCCCCATACCATGATGAGAAAAGATTAGCATCTGAATTTCATGGTGTATACATTCCATTTCTTTATCACATTTATCAAGACTCGAGGTATCATTTTTGTTTCATCTGAAAATAAATCTATTCTGTCATCCATTGGTTTGGTATGCATTTGTCTCTTTGTTAGATTCATGTTATGCTAAGCAGTTTTAGGAAAAAGGACATGGGGTGGCATGGGGGCAGCTGCTTTTCAGCATGACTGGCAGCATGGACTGGTTTTAGATGTTTAGGTGCATGAATTGTGGGTTTAAAAGCCAGGTTGCTGATGGGGACGGGGCGTTATGTTCACATGACTCCAGTCCTCTGACAGCTTCACTGGCTTCCCATTGAAGTCTGGGCCCAATTCAAGGTGTTGGTTATGACCTATAAAGCCCTAAACGGCTTGGGACCTGGTTACCTGAAGGAGTGCTTACATCCATATATGCCCGACTGCCCCTTGAGATCTGCGGGAGAGGCCCTTCTCCGGGAACCCTCTGTGAAAGAAATTAGGAGGGTAGGTACTCGGAGGAGGGTTTTCTCTGCGGTGGCGCCCAATCTATGGAATATGCTCCCCAGAGAGGTCTGACTGGCGTTGTCATTATTTGTTTTTCGGCGCCAGGTGAAGACCTTTTTTATTTAAACGTCATTTTAATTGTTAACAATATTTACTTATTTATCCGGCCAGGGCGACGTCTTTTCTTTTCTTTTCTTTTCTTTTCTTTTCTTTTCTTTTCTTTTAACTTTTCTAACCCCTTTTATATCGTTTATATTTTTTATTTATTTTATATTATTAATTTTAATTTTATATTGTTATTTTTGTATTGTATTGTATTGTATTGTGTTGTAAGCCACCCTGAGGCCTCGGCAAGGGGTGGCATAGAAATGTTCTAATAATAATGATAATACTACTAATAATAATATTTTTAAACTGTGGATATTTTTTTATTTATGAGGTTCTATTGCTTCATTCTGTATTTCACTATATCCCTTACTGTTGGTCATTATCTAGAGTACTTCATCTGTGAGGCAACATGACAAGCAAGAAAGCAAGCAACTGGTCCATCCATCCATCCATCCATCCAATGATAGCAAACACTGCTGATTTTAGCTGTGAAAATGAGTTTTGATACCTGTCTCCATCACATGTCACTTTAGAAAGAGGTTTTCAGTGGGAACTAGCAGTTTTGGACTGTGATGTGTAGTTGTGATTAGGCATTGTCTTAACTCTGCCCATTGCCAGGAACATAGTACAAGGTCTACATCAACCTTTTGAAAGCTAAAAGATAAATGTTACCAAAAGGGAAGGCTAAACCACCATCTGCGAGACCTCAGTGGTGGAGGACCTGATGACCTCCTAGTTCAGACAGGTGTTTTTCGGATGTAATATACCAATGAACAAGTTTATGGATATTTAGATACCTGTTGTTACGTATTTATGCATTCTTTGATTTGTATGCCATCCCCACAGGTTCTTTGGGAAGTTCATGGCATATGATATAGCAACTAAAACAACACATTCAATCCACATCACAATAAAATATAGCAAGCAACAATCAGGAATAAAGGCAATGAATGCAATAAGTAAAATAAAACAAGCTAAAGTAGGATAAGATAAGAAGATATAAGAGGGGGCATATCATTAAACATTCATTATATTAGATCATTTAAAATAACCTGAAAGGCAGATAAAATGAGTGTTATATATAAAAAATAATTAAATTATTTGGGGGCAAGATGTAAAAAGGACTCAAACCACTTGGAACAGCTTGATTGGACAACACAATGAGGACACAATGCTATTCTCATACTGGCTTGTCCGTCCTGCAGTGCCATATCTCCCCATGTCTTATGGAAGTCTCTGCATAATTTTCCTCTAATGAAACTAATATATTCTGCCATTCATAAAATATATATGGGTACATAGCATGTCTGTATTCACTGAGCCATCTCCTGAACTGCTGCTGGGGTTGGTGGAAATGATGCATGTGGCTTGGAACAAAGATGTCTTCAGCAGGTTCCAGAGACAGCATGGAGTGAGTGCCTGAACAACCACTAAAGGCAGGAATGTTAACAAAATTGGGCCACCTCATGGAAGGCTCTTCTCCTGAAAGGCTCCATTTGTACCATAAGCCCACAAGTCCAGGTGCCCCAAACCCCAAGAAGAATGTAGTGCAGGACATCTGTGTCCAGGCAGGCTAGCACAAGAGAAAATGATCTCTCCAACTTACCTCTCTTGAAGGTGTTCAGGGCTTTGCATAGTAGTGCCAGAATCCTACGTCTGTCCTGGCAGTGGAGAGACAACCTGTGCAGCTCCTTCAGGAGAGAAGGGGCATGTAAAGTAGGCATCTATTGACAACCAGGGAGCTGCTGCCTTTTGCATGAGCTCTGAGTTCTGGAATGGCCTGAAGGGCGACCTTACACTTCACCACAATCCAGTCTTGAGGTTGTAAGCACCACTACTACTGTGGCCAAGCTATCCCTGGCTGGAAGAGGCCACAGTTGGTGAAGTAGTCAGAGGTTCTGAAGATACTCTGAGCCATCACAGTCATTTGTGATGTCAAGCACAGGGATGTAGGAGAACTCCAAGCCCATGAACATCATCTTTTAGGGGAGCACAACTCCCATCCTGATAAGGGAAGGAGTCCAGCTCCTGGACCTGAGAACCAGGTACCCTCAGGACATCCCACTCCAGGGTTCAGGTTCAGTGGACTGTACATTATTCAGCTTATGACTGACCCCAGACACTGAGCTCAGCATCTCCAGTTGTCCCTGGCCATCAAGCTGTGTGTTGCCATTTCATCCAGGAATACTTTCTTGCCTAGCCCTGCACTGATACAGCCAAACACCCAATCCTCCCCTTCCCAACTATAAACCCAGGCCAAGGAACTTTCCTCCTAGCAGTACATCAATTTAGTCACACAGTTTCACACAGGTCAAAGGTCAGAACCAAAATCACACCCACAAGGCCCTGCAGCAGGAAAGGGTGATGAAAACCTATTTTTCCCTGCCTTCCTTTCCAAGGAAGGGCTCAGATGTTTTTTGCTGTTTTAATACCCTGAAATTATCCAAATGAGGCTAATTCTCAAGGAATCCTCCAGGGACCTCTGTGTAGACAG